AAAACTTACCCAATCTATATTCATTTCATCATTTCCCCTTCATTGCTTTTTAATCCTTTTCCTCCCTTCATTATATACTAACCTCCCTCTCCCTGAATCCACACACAGTATGAGTTTTTTTTGCCTTTTCAAATGAGTCCAAGCATGCATAACTTAGATCTCATGCCATTTTTGTTGCCTCTGCTTGTAGAGAAACAGAGGAAAGACCTGGTTGGTGCGCTGATCCACATCTCCCACCGTGTGCGGCGTATGTTCCCCGGATGACTTTCATTAAACCCTTTATGAAATAACATGTAACCTTTTTGCTGATCTCTGTAGTCTATAACCACTTCTAAGCAGGTTTGTCGAGATCATGGCACCTGTATTTTCTAGGGATGCGTGGCGCTGTGTATGGCATATGATACAGGTCTGAAGTACACCCATTTCTTTTCTTCTCACTCTAGCTAATTCTACACCCGATCACGTTTCTCCCTGGGTTGATATCCTCTATTCCAAAATTGTACTATACTCTTAAAAAATGAGTCCAGTTTTTAAAAGAATTTGTCCAAAGAGGCCTTAGTCGGAGTATATAAAAAGAAACTAATTATTCGTCTAGCTTTCCACAACTTAATTTAATAATTTATGGTATGACTATTGGAACCATCAATTTTAGATTTCTAGACATATTTTAAACTGATTTGTTTGTTCAACTAAGTATAATTTGTTTGGCACTTTTTTTTTTTTGAAAAAATACATTAAACTATAATGAAAATTAGTTTCTTGTGTTGTGCTAGGGACCTAGGGTTCTTTTTTTGGACAAAACTAAATCAAGAAAGAGGGTTTTTTTGGTTGGGAGAAATAGGGGGTTATTTTCAATGGAATGAAGAGAGGAGAGTTGTACCTTGCCAAAGTTCAAAAGTTGTACCTTCATTGTCTGATTATTGTCGGAGTATTATTTACTGGTCACGGTGAAGTTTGAGTTGACGTTAATAAATACTCACTGCAACATTACCATATGGAATGCCCTATGCCCTCTCGTTCCTAAAAATGTGTAGAAGGAGAGTAATGTTCCATTTTTTTTGCAGAACGATCTGGTTCATGGATGGGGTCTTGATTTTGCTCTTAGAAAGTGTGTTGAGGTGAGTATTTGCAGCAAATGTGTCTTCATCTTAACCTTTTCACTGTTGGGCAATAATGTGTTTTTATGCCACTCTAAATCTATGCCAGCCTGCTCATGAAAAGATTGGAGTTGTAGATGCTCAGTGGATTGTGCACCAAACTGTCCCTTCACTCGGGAACCAGGTAATCCATATAGCAGCTCAAATACATAATATCAAAACATTGTGAGAGACATGAACCACAAGTGTTTTTTGATTTGATGTTTTTTTCAATAGGGTCAAGCAGAGAATGGCAAGGCGCCCTGGGAAGGGGTAGGTTGCAAGTTTCTATTTTATGTTCATACTTTCATATTGATCCGATTTGTTTACATCTACCCCACTCAACATATGATCAAATCACCAAATGATCCTCAAGGCTCTTGACAAGTCACAAACCAAACAGACTTTCGGCAAACGACACTCAAAGTTGATAGAATATAATGACACTCCACATTAATATAATGATTTAAAGCAGCCATCTCTACACTACAAGAATAACAAACCCAGAAAAGTCCCACGAGATAGGGTCTAGGGCAGGAAGGGTGTGTGTATGCATACTTTACCCTTGACACTAAAAGCAATAAACCAAATTAAATACCTTCGTTTTCGGCCCTCTTTTCTTGTTTTTGCCCCCAAGCCATAAAAAAATAAGCCTACACACTCTGTCCATGTGGACTATCATGACCGTTGGTTGCACCGCAACCAACCAAGAGTCCATAACATTGCATATTTGCACTGATTTTGATATTGGATTCAAACGGATAGCGTTTGATCGATGAAGCGAAACCAATTTGGCAATATGATGAATGTCAGGTAAGGGAGAGGTGCAGAAGGGAATGGACAATGTTTCAGGATCGGGTGGCAGCCGCCGAGAAGGCCTATTTTGAGGCATTGGGAATCAACCCATACAACTCTACTTCTACCTGAATCGATCCCAAAAGATGACACTCTATAGAGGTGAGAAACTCCTTAATGGCTGACCATAGATTATTAGTAGCTATGGTGGGGTTCTCTGCATATGTTTGCAGTGAAGAGCCCATAGCCACACACTGTAAGATTAGATCCAATTTTGATGGGTGTGGATTGGATGATGCTCTTCATGCTTATGTGATGAATGATGTAGGCTTTCCAATGCTATGCTCATTACACACCTACTTCACCTTGTATTGTAATGTTTTTGTGCATGAATTTACTATGTAGGGTGCCTCCATATTACGTGTATGACTACTTCCATTATTATTAAGTCCTCCATCCCAATTTATAGTGTGTTATTCACAAGATCAAATTTCATTCACTTTCTTTATCTATTTTCATTGTTAATTTGATAAAATAAAATATTCTTGTCACTATTACTTTTGAAAATCTTTGGGTGTAGTGTTTTAATATGTAATTTTTATTTTTTAAATCTATACCATTTGTCATCTAAAATGATTTGAAAATAATTTCAGTCAAACATTGTAAATCGAAACAGACATTATAAATTGGGACGGAGGGAATACTATTACTATTATTATAATTATTGTTATGGTGAGGTTCTAGTGAATCCGGATTACGGTGCCACTGACATTTTGGAGCACCTCCGGTGCTTCGTTTGCAAAATTGACAGTTCCTATCCCTTTTAACCCACCTCCTAAACCTCCCACCCTACCCCGCCCCTGCACCCCCACTGCAACCCCGCCGTAAGCCCCCCGCAAAATGTGTGGCTATTATGGGGGGCTTACGACGGGGTTGGGGTGGGGGTGCAGCGGCGGGGTAAGGTGGGAGGTTTAGGAGGTGGGTTAGGGGGGTAGGAACCGTCAATTTTGCGAACGGAGCACCGGAGGTGCTCCAAAAACGCAGTGACACCGCTAGTGGCACCGTACTCCGGTGTCACTAGAACCCCAACATTATTGTTATTATTACTGTTGTTTTTATTGTTATTACTCTCTGTTGAAAAATATCTTTCCCGATTTGACCTGGTACGGAGATTAAAAAAAGTTAAAAAGTGTAAAGATGTTCCATGTGTTGCCTTTGATGTAATAGAATAAAGTGAATATTATGGAAAAAAAGTGAGGGTATAATGATATAGTCATTAAAAGATTTTTTGCCAAAATAGGATTTGAGAGAAAAAAACTGGACAACCCAATAAAGAAAGTGAGAAAGAAATTAATGAACGGAGGTATTATTATTATTATTTAGGTGATGCTAAATCCACTCCCTAATTGGCTGAATTCACTTCATTTATAGGAGATGGTCATTTTTGCCTTTTCACTTCTTTCTTTCCCGTTTCAAGCATTAAGAGTAAACTTGTCTATTTGACACAAAAAGGAAGGGATATAGCCAAATATGGGGTAGGTTTAGCAATAACCTTATTATTATTGTTGTTTTTATTGTTATTGTTATTATTACTATTATTATTATTACTATTAGGGGTATTATTGTTATTAGAGTAGTGTAGTTACTAGTTATTGATAGTGGGAGAGTGAGTGGGGTACATAGTGGCATAGTGGGGAAGAGTTAGTGGGGCATATAGTGGCATTAGTGGGGTATATAGTGGCATTTGTGGACTTGTGGTATCAAGCTGCTTCCCCATGCTAGTGTGCCACCACATGGGTGCATCCATGTTTCGCACAGACAAACACAGACGTTAATTGTCTGTGTCGTACTGTGTTTGTCTGTGCGAAGCATGAGTGTCCATGGTAGCACCCATTTGGTGGCACCCTAGCATTTTCCTCCTTCGTATTGTTATGTTTTTTATCCTCCGCTCTAATTTTGTTTATTACTTCCTCTATTCTAAAATTAGTTTCTTATTTTTCACAGTTTTTAATGTAATATTTTGATCATTAATAATTTTATTTTTATATAAATATATATTATAAAAAAAATATTTCAAAATGAATAAATTGATAAAAATATTATATGAAAATTTAATGTATTTTTTTGTAATATGCAGTTAAAATTTAAAATTTGTAATTGCAAAAATCAAACTAGAAAGTTAAGTTTAAGATGGAGAGAGTATTATTTATAAGGTTTGAATGAATTTTTTTTAAAACTCAATTTAGTTCAAAATTAGTATGAAATTAAAAAAATAGAATTTATATATTTAAAAGATTATATCAAAAGATATACCCGTATAAAACAAGAGATGTTAGAATTATGAAGTATTATTTTATCAATTGAATAATAAAAATGGAAAAAAACGTGGTTAAAGTGTGATTATGTGAATACTATATAGGCAAGTTAATTTGAGAAACCATCAATTTTTTGAGTGGAGCACTGAAATTACTCCAAAAATGCAGTAGCACTGCTAGTGTCACCGTTGGAGAGTGTCAACGGAACAGTGCCTTACTATTATTATTATTAATTATTAATTATTATTATTATTATTATTATTAATATTATTAAAGAAGTAGAGTTATTAGTGGTGGGCTTATGGGCTGTTTGTTTCAGCCTCTTAATGGTTCAGATGTCTGAATGATTCAGCACTTAATGGTTCAGACTGTTTGTTTCAGCCTCTTAATGGTTCAGATGTCTGAATGGTTAAGAGATTTGCCTCTGAATGGTTAAGTATTATACAGAGTCTGAATGGTTAAGAGCTGTTATCTGAATTGATCAGACATTTGCCTCTAAATAGTTAAGCAATATACTAGCTCTTAATGGTTCAGACTGTCAGATCCTTATATTCTTCAGTCTGTAGTAAATCTCTCTATTTCTCTCCCATTTCTCTTCACCTTCTCCAACTTCTCTCTAGCCGATCGGTAACGAACGCCCGGTAGATATCAGTTAGGCGAAGCGGTTTGACAATTTTTACTTGTTGGTTCTCTGCCGCCATTAATATCGGGCAAATTGCTCTCTATTAAACCTTATCTCTTCGCAATTTAGACAATTGACATTGTTGCCACCAGGCGGCGAAGCCATCTATCCTCCGCCCCAAGCTCCGGTTGACTCCCCCGGAGACCACGCGAAGCCGCTCTCTGTCCGCCGCTCGTTCGCCCTTATAAATAGCTAGGTATCTTCAATAGTTACTCTTATTCAATTATCTCATTTTTATGTAGGCCAATCTTGTGGATGTTTTTTCGTTTGTCTAGTTTGATTTTTTTGCTATTAAATTGGATGAAATTTGATAATCAATCAAATAAATATCACATTGTATATTAATAAAATAAAAGATTCTTTTTTGAAAGTGTTTTACAAGATGTATCTAATTAAATTAGGCTCCGTTTGGTACACAGAATTCAAATTATGAAATTGGAATTAGGGATAATAATTCCGATTTTGTTGTTTGGTAACACAAAAATATGTGGATTTGGAATTGGTACAACCAAAAAAGAATTGGAATGGGAGAATTCGATTCCATTCAAATCAATTCCATAGAATTTCAAATTTTCCAATTCAATATTATTTCCTGTCAATTTCATTTACCAAAGAGACATTTAAGGGAAATGCAATGCATTTTTTAATTAGTTGATGATTAAAGTTGGTTGAGATTGTCTGCTAAAAGTCAAACTAGACAAGTATTTCAAACTACTGCTTGTTTGGTCCTTTTTTATGTTAAGGGAGTGTCGTTGCGCATGTATTGAATTTGATTTGTCTATACCTATTTTTTAGAATATAAAAACCTTTTTCTTGATTGGTTGGTTATGAATTTGAATATCACCGTCACCTAGTTAGAAAAAAAATTAAATTTCATGTGCAAGGAGTGTATTAAAAAAAACTTGGGTGAAGATGTATATTCCATCCATCTCCAAAACTTTTATCTACTTTGACTTTCGCAAAATTAAGAAAAATGTTTGAAAATGAAAAATATTCCCTTTATGGTTGAAATTTGTTTAGATGGGAGAAAAAATTTTTGAGCCACATTTTCACTATTGTACTAAAAAGAGAAAAATGTGTCCCCTTGTCCAAGACCAAGAGTATGCTATGAAAATTGGTTAGGGCAAACCACTTATGACCTCTAAGACAAACACAAACACTTCCGCACAGTTATTTTCTTTTTTGTATTTGGTGTCAAAAATGATATAAAAAATTATGAGTCACATTTTCACTATTGTACTAAAAAAATGAAATAAAGTACTCGTAACTAGGTATTCCATACTATTTTTTTGAGACATCTAGAAAATTATGTGCATTGTGCAAGAGTATGCTATGAAAATTGGTTGGTGAGTTGGAGGTGCAATTTTTTCAATGCAGAATGAAGTAAAAATAAATAAGTGGAAAGCTAGTTGCAGAGAATATGGCTCCTCCAACCTTCATAATCTTGGCATCTCTATTCATCATATCTATTGTTGCTTGTTTTATCATCCAAAGCAAGAAGAAAAGATCTCGGAATCTTCCTCCCGGGAGCTTCGGATGGCCGATCATTGGCGAATCACTAGAGTTCCTCCGCAGAAACCGCGAAGGGAGACCGGACAAGTTTGTGACAGACAAGTTGAAAAAGTACAATTCGGACGTGTTTAAGACTCACTTGATGGGTGAGCCGGTGGTTGTCTTGAGGGGCCCCACAGGGAACAAGTTTTTGTTCAGCAATGAGAACAAGCTCGTCATGTCATGGTGGCCGGCCTCCATTCAGAAGTTGCTCGGAGTTTGTTTAGTGACTTCCGTGGGCGAAGACGCCAAACAGATGAGGAAGCTTATGTCATACTTCATGGGCCCGGACGCGCTCCAACGGCTTTATCTCAAAACCATGGATTTCGTCACTCGGCAACACATTCAATCTCATTGGCACAACAACGCGGAATTGAAGGCGCTCCCCCTCGTCAAGATGTACACGTTCGAGCTAGCTTGTCGCTTGTTTATGAGCATCGAAGACCCGCACCTGATAAACCGGCTTTCCCACCTCTTCAACGTTGTCCTCAAGGGGATCATATCGCTCCCGATTAACCTCCCCGGGGCGCGATTCCGGCGTGCAATGCAAGCAGCCGCCTTGATAAGGGAGGAGCTTCTTGGGATTGTGAAGCAGAGAAGAGAAGATCTGAAGTCGCACCCCTCCCAGGGGCGCGATCTTCTCTCCCATTTGCTTCTCACCCCTGACGAGGGTGGGAACTTCATGTCGGAACTCCATATCGCGAACAACATACTCCTACTTTTGTTCGCGGGCCACGACACGTCCAGTGTCACTATCACTCTATTGATCAAGAAACTCGGAGAGTTTCCGCACGTTTACGAAGAGGTCCTTCGAGAGCAGAGAGAAATCGCAGGGTCGAAAGAGGCAGGAGAGTTTCTGCATTGGGATGACATACAGAAGATGAAGTACTCGTGGCACGTCGTCTCCGAAGTCATGAGGCTATACTCCCCCATCTTCGGGACCTTCAGGGAGGCACTTGAGGACGTAAACTACGAAGGCTATGTCATCCCCAAAGGCTGGAAGTTCTACTGGAATGGTCCGATCACGCACCTGGATGGAGGTTTCTTCCGAGACCCGACGCGCTTCCACCCCTCAAGATTCGAAGATGACGTGCCCACGCCTTACACATATGTGCCGTTCGGGGGAGGCCCGAGGATGTGCTTGGGAAAAGAGTTTGCTCGCCTCGAGATACTCACATTTTTGCACAATGTGGTTACGCAGTTCCGGTGGAGTTTGCTCATTCGTGACGAGAAGATCGAATACGACCCTATGCCCATCCCGGTCGAAGGCCTTCCCATTCGTCTTCATGCCCACAAACAATGAAACTCTTACTTCTGTTCAGAGTTCACACTTTATTTGACAGACTATAATTATAGCTCAATTTAAGAGGTATGGTTTCTTGCTTCTATGCAACTCTTGCTTCTGAAATTGTCACCTCACCTGAAAAAGGCTATGTGGGTTGGGTTGGTTACTGGAAAGCCAAAATGATATGGAGTACTGTGTATTCAACTATTATTATCTTGTAGCCTTGTACTTTGAACTTGAGGTGAATAATAATAATGATAATAATAATACTAATACTAATAATAATAATAATAATAATAATAATAATAATAATGTTTTACATAGTACAAATTAAAGCAAAAATTCACGCCAACACTTTTAGATTTAGCCGATTAAATTCTATTATTCTCAATTCTCTTTCTCACGTAAAACTACAATAAATAATCAGATTTTACGTCGCTATTCCAGTCGGGTCGGTTGGCTTCAATCTTAGTTACGTGGAAATGTTTTGGCTGCTGAAATATTGAGTTGGTAACACATCTAAATTAACAAAATCAAATTGGACGTCTTCTGATTTTTTTTGAAAAACATAATAAAGGAAAGTTGATTATGGTAAAATCACCTGTCCTAAAAAAGGTATTAACTTTTATGAAGTTAATCAAATAATACTAATGGTGTTCAATGTAATTTTATTGTTTTAGATGTGTTGCTAACTCATTGTTTCGGATGTCATGTTGCCTGTTAACTCATTGTTTCGGATGCCATGTCAGCCAAAATGCTGAGTCAGGCTGAAGTAGCGATGTGAAGTTGGGTGATTTCTTAGAGTATTGGTGCACAAAAAAATTGGGAGTAATATTATATAATTGGCCAAATCTAAGAGTATCTAAATAGCATGACCTTAAAAAAATTGTTTTTATTGTTTCTGATGGGAGAATATTTCTGTGCCTAAAGATATTGAGCCCAGTCCAAGAAGCAAGACCATGAAGGAAGCATTTGCAAACCCTAACCTTAGAGCATCTCCAATGGAGAGTGTAAAAAATTAAAAGCTAAACATCAGTTTACCTCTTCCACAGTGTTTTAGCTTCCAATTTTTTTATCGCTACTCCAACCATGACATCTATATTATACATTATTTTTATTTTTATTTCATTATATAAACTTTTATTTTATCAAAAATTAAAACTTTTATTTTGTCAAAAATTTCTTCTAGTTCTTCATTGCTCAAGATTTTGGAAATCATTTGAAGAAACAATGGCAAATATGCAGAAATCACATGACCGACAATGTGCAAAACAATTGCCAATGGATAGAAACTTTTTCAGCAAAAAAGAACAACAAAAAAAGCAAAAATAATGTCGGCAAGAACAGAATCAGAATAGAAATTGGGGAAAGGAATTAGCAGAAAAAATTTGCAATCCATAGTTGCAATTTCTGGTAAAGTATTGCTCAATCGAAGATGCCTCATACCTCTAGAAAATTTTTGCAGGAAACAGATGCACTTGATCTGATCTTTGTCTCCTAGGGTTGGCCTCCAAAAAGCATCAGGGAAGACAGCAAAGGGGATGAGCAGGGATGAAACAAATGGAAAAAAGAAAATAAAATGAAATACACTATCTACAGTACTGTGTATTTATGAAAGACGAGAATAGAAAAATAGATTGCCATCTATTTTAAAGAAGATCCGTTGGAGACCGAATTTATGCACAGTACCAGCTATACCTTTCTTTTTATACACTTTACTCAAATTTACATGATGCATTGGAGTTGCTCTTACTCTACTATAAATAGAGGCTACAAGCCATTGAGAACGGAGAGCCTACATCATTATCCAACACACATACACACAACACATCTCTCTCCATATGTTCACTTTTTCATAGAGTTTCAAGCTCCCTGCATGCTTATCACGCTTATGTATTGTACACGTACATCCTTGATCTATAATAATACACCCCTTAGCATGGTACCACCAAAAAAGGTCTGTGATTTTCTCCCATTTAAGGTTTACTCATAAATGTCCTTGTGTTCATATTATTAGATTCAACAATCATATTGAGTGATATTCATGTGAAGAGTAATTTGTTTATGTCTGGATTATAAGTCCATCACTTTCTAGTATTTTTTGTTTCGTTCCTTTTAAGAAAAACATACTCCCCTGTCCCTAACAAAAACTGTGATTTGATATTACGAAGTTTAAGATTGTTATTGAAAAGTGAACAATATATGGATATAATTTGTTTTTCTCAGAGCTTTCTCTATCAGTGGAAAACACCTCTTTTTTGCATGCTATGAATCCAGAGCAATTGTGGTTATTTATATTGGTCCTTTCACATCACCATATAAATTCGGATTTGAATTGTGTTTATTACTTTCGCAGAATGTTGGATTGGATTGAATGTCACCCACTAAATCCAACAAAAGTAAGGAGTGAGATGTTCTATGGGAAACCAAGTGGGATGTAGACAGTACACAAAGATTCAATATAGGGTTTCAACTGTTTATAGCCAGTTGTATCTGTTTGAAGGTTCAACGAATTGCACTTCTAGCACTCAATATTCACCGTGTTAGAATTGATGGTAAATACTTCACAAAACTTCCATCAATTGTAATGCAGTACTGTTCAATACTATGAGTGATTATCAAAAAATTGTCCATTAGGATATCACTCTTGAATGAACTACACACACACACACACACACACATCAACGGCCCGGTTCTAGTGACACCGGAGAACGGTGTCACTCCGGTGCCACTGCGTTTTTGGGGCACATCTGGTGCTCCGTTTTGACGGTTCCTACCCCCCCTAACCCACCCCCCTAAACCCCCCACCCTTGCACCCCCACCCCAACCCCGCCGTAAGCCCCCCACAAAATGTGTGGCTATTATGCAATGCATAATAGCCACACATTTTGTTGGGGGCTTACGGCGGGGATGGGGTGAGGGTGCAGGGGTGGGGGTATGGTGGGGGGTTTAGGGGTGGGTTAGGGGGGTAGGAACCGTCAATTTTACGAACGGAGCACCGGAGGTGCCCAAAAAACGCAGTGGCACCGTTCTCCGGTATCACTAGAACCGGGCCGATATATCAAATAGAGCATATTAATTGTGGAGATGCCATGTGGCGGTCCACGCGTATTGTTTTCGCGTATCCCCTGGGAGTCATGGGTTGCGTGGTTTATTGGTGATGTGGCTTTGATGTATCTATTTTGATTGGCTTCTGCTTGGTAGGGTCAGTTTGTTTCTCAAGAACTTGGTGTTTTTGTTTGGATTTGTTTATTTTTCCTAAAATTCTGTTGCCTTCCCTTTTTTATTCATCTGAGTTGTCCTTTTTTATTTTGCACTGTTAGATGCTATGGTTCTCTAATCGACGTGCCTGGTGTTGGATTCTATGGACGATGATGGTATCGCCGACAGCTGGATGACCCGTCTTCGGGCATTTTCGGTAATATTCTGTTTTATTTAATGTGTCTGATCGGTTGTCCTTGCATTTAGTTTGTTCATGTTGGCTAGAGGTCCTGTTTTGTGTAACGGATGTGTGGTGTGGCCCTTTACATTGATGTCAAATTTATGGGGTGTTTCTTTGTGCGGATGTTTATTGGCTTATTGCTGATAAACAATTTTTAGCTTATAAGCCAAATATTCTTTCGTGGAAGTAAAATGACTTAAATTTAAAATAAGTCATTTGGAAGTATTCATAGATGTAGGCACAATTTTGTAAATAATTTGGTCAAAACCCTGAAAATAAGTAGGGGAGACATTTATTTTTTCTGGCTTATAAGTAGCTTATAAGTCAGTTTTTAAATACAAAGAAATATGTCATCAGTTGACTTATAAGTTAAAAGCTGCTTACAAGCAGTTTTGACCAGCTTATAAGCATAGAAAAATACCCACTTAATTACGTTTTGTTTTGTGTTTCTAGAGACGGATCGGTTTTGCACGTTGCTTTTATTAGGGCATGCATTTGTCGTATATAAATATCGGTGATTGTGTGGGTTGAGGCCTTGAGGGTTTCATATTGATTCATTGGTTTTCTTTTTTATATTGCCTAACATGTCTGCTACCAAGACTACCAAACCTCTCCCTAATATGATGTTGTCTAAAAAAAACTAGAGGTCTTTTAAATATGCATTCCATCCTTTTCTATTACCGTCAGTGTTCTGGGTTTCAAGGCTTTAAAATGTTTATTTATTGGCGTGTTTATGTTGGCTGCGCATTATGTATTGTGAATGTAGTCATAGTTTAAAAATGTCAAACCAGAGTTGATTTTTGGGAGAGCTTTCGTATGCTTTTCGTCCGCTCAGAACAACAGTAATACCATTGCAGTATATGCATTTTGCCGAAGCTTCGCAGCTACAACAAGTGTCAAACGGAAACCATTTCAAGAGGAGCGGGAGATAAACAGGTTTGCTTATTCCCGGTTTTTGGGCTTTTCGGCTAATTACAATCCCTTCCTAAATTTTGTTTTTTAAAGGACATTTCCATTGGATCTAATGCACTTCAATCATTCCCATGTTTTCGAAGATTATGATGACAATTGCAAAAGGGTGTGTGGTGTGGTCATGGAGCAACTAGCCATTTGGGTCATCTTCTCTTTGTAGTCCTTATTAATGGTTTGGTCCAGACTGTTTTGCTCTTATTTCTCTTTTGGGACATGATATTTTCATTTACTCTGTATGTCTTTTTAGACTTTAGGGTCTTTTCGCAAATTATACCGTACAGCTGGTTGTACCATATTTCCGGTACAACTGGCAATTAGATCGAAGAATAAGCACATGCATATTACTCTGTAATTTTCAACCATGTTAAGAGTACACCAAAAAGTGTACTCCAAAGAAATACACCAGCATTTTAACAGTTCACAATACCATAAAATGTTAGTTGAATAAAAAAATACTCTCTCCGTCCCAAATTATAATGCATGTTTACTATTTACAGGGTCAAACTTCATTCACTTTCTTTCTCTATTTTTGTTAGCAATTTGATAAAATAAAATATTATTGTCACTACTAGTTTTGTAGATCTTTTGATGTAGTTTTTTAATATGTAATTTTTATTTTTTTAATTCTATACCATTTGTCATATAAAATGGTTTGAAAATAATTTCAGTCAAACATCGTAAACCGAAACAGGCGTTATAAAATGGGACGGAGGTAGTAGTACTGATATTTTGTGTTATTGTAAATCATCACACTGGCATTACTCTAGCACAAAATGTTAGTGTGTGTCATCGGATTATAAAGTGGGGTATAATTATTTTTGGGTACATTAATTTAGTACACATAGTTTAGTACATTAATTTTTTGTTGAAAGAAGACACGTGGTTTGTGCCACATATATATTCTCAACTGGTTTTTTTTAATTAGTAGATTTGTCATAAGTTATTTTAATTTTTTATCAGTTAAAATGTTTTTCATTATTTTTTTATTTAATTTTGGATTCGCTTTTCATTTAGGTCTATTAAAGAAGCATTCCATTTTTTTCCCATTTTCACCATTTTAAATTTATGTATTTTTAATATACTCCGTACATAATTACTCCGTAGTATAATACGGAGTATCTCAATAAGGTTTTAAAAACATTATTAATGTTTTAAAAAAATTTAAAACTGGCCATCGTTTTTTCCCATTTTCTACCATTAAAAAAAATTGATATTTACTCCCTCCGTCCTAAAACGTTTTTCTCAGTTTGACTTTTCCCCATTTTTAATTTTTGGCTTTGACTTCAAATTTTACCCTCCTTAAAAAAGATTTTTTGAAATTTTTTTTGCAATCATTCAAATTATAGAGTTAGAAAATAATTGGTGTAAATATATGAGGGTATTAATGTCATTTGTCATCTTTTTTTCTAATGAGAATGTAGTTTTAGGAAGGAGAAAAAAGGGGAGTGGGAAGAACGTTTTAGGACAGAGGGAGTATATAAATTTGAAATATATACTTGCGGTTAGAATATATGTGTATAACGTATATTATAAAATTATTGGAAATTAAAACAAAACAAAATTACTCTTAGGAAATGTCACTCCGTAAAAATTTAGAATGCACATTTAGTCTTTTCGTTTTGACATTTTCTCATTTTTAAGCACGGTTCCGCTCACACTGAAAAACGATGCTACTATTCGCTAAATTGATGTTTTTTAACCCTTAACCCACTCTTAAAGCCCACTTCCAAATGTGTGATTATTAAGCAATACAATAGTTGTTATGGGATTTGACGGAAGTGGCTTGTCCCTTCCTCAAGCCTCCCCACGCTTGCTCCACCGTGCCGTATTTGCTGTGATGGATTGTGTTTTTGTGGGTGATAGCCATCAAGTCGTGAAGGCTAGTTTCTTTTTCTTTTTTTGTTTCAGACCAATTAAAATAATTTATATCTGTACTCTATCACTTTTTGACACGTCTCTTTTTCAAGTCTCATAACACATATTTTTATTACTGCACGTTATATTTCTTTATATTCCGTCAAGCCGGCCATAACACACATAAGGAGGCTATGTGAGAACTCGGGGTGGTGGCCAGTGTGAACGGAGCCCTCCGACGCGGTTTGACAATTTTTGCCGCCATTAATACTCTGACAAATAGGTCTCAACTAAACCTTATCTCTTCACAATTCAGACAATTGACATTATTATACCACCAAGCGGCGGAGCCGTTTATCCCCCGCCCCCAAGTTCCCCGGCGACCACGCGAAGCCGCTTTGTCCGCCAATTGATCGCCCTTATATATATATATATATATATATATATATATATATATATATATATATATATATATATATATATATATATATATATATAGCTACCAGGTATCTTTAATAATTTCTCTTATTCAATCATCTCCATTTTTCTATAGGCCAGTCTTATATCTGGATGTTTTTTTCTACTCGCTCTACCTGTTTTTTTTCCAGTTTGATTTAAATACGATGAACTTTGATAATCAATTAAATAATCCGGACGGTTTCCATGACATTGTTGACTCGGGGGCGCTCCGTATCTCGTTCGTAAAATTAACGGTTTTTAGTCTCTAACACTCTGGGTAAACCCCCTACCTTGCCCTGACTCGAACACCCCTATCCCCTTCAATTGCATCCCACAAGGTAGTTTAACTTGTGGAGTGCCTTGAAGGGGGTAAGGAGTGTGTTCGGATCGGGGCATGGTGGGGAGTTTACCAAGAGTTAGGAGGTAGGAACCGTTAATTTTTTGAATGGGACACTGAAGCGCCTCGGATACATTGCCGGGCAATGTCATGGGAACCGTCCTGTTAACGAGTTTTTCTTTTGGTTTTCTAACTTTTTTCAGTCAAGTCATTTTGTAAAATTATTATTTTTGCAAATAAACCCCACTCATATTTGACTAGAAAGATCAAAATAATCTGGCACGGAGTATTTAGTAACTTAAAATAGGAATAAATAAACTAAATGAATTTTAAATTGACTAAAACTATAATTTTAAAATTTTGAAGGGATCAAAAAGCACACTTAAATTAAGGGAGGATTATTAGTAAAAATAATAATTTTACACAGATGATTTAATTGAAAAAATTACAGGAACCAGTAGCAAAACTTGCTAATTGTATAGAAACCAAAAACATACGCAGTGTTTAACATTTTTAACCCCCCTAATAAAATAATATTTATGAAAATATTTTACAAGATAAATCTAAATAAATTATTTTTTGCACTAATAATATGCAATATAATTTCTATTTAGTTCAATTTGACTTTAGAAACTGTTGGTTTGGTCATCAGAATTGGTTGGTGAATTGGAGGTGCAAATTTTTGATAGCAGAATAAAGCAGAAATCAAGAAGTGGAAAGCCAAATGCAGAGAATATGGCTCCTCCAATCTTCTTCATAATATTGGCATCTCTATTCATCCTATCTGTTATTGCCTCTTTTATCACCCAAACCAAGAAGAAAAGACCACCCCGGAATCTCCCTCCCGGGAGCTTCGGATGGCCGATCATCGGCGAGTCGTTGGAGTTCCTCCGCTCAAGCCGCAGAGGGAGACCGGACGAGTTTGTGTTGGACAGGTGCAAGAAGTACGGCTCGGACGTGTTCAAGACTCACCTGATGGGAGAGCCGGTCGTCGTCCTGAGGGGCCCGGCCGGGAACAAGTTCTTGTTCAGCAACGAGAATAGGCTCGTCACGTCGTGGTGGCCGGCCTCCGTGCAGAAGCTGCTCGGAGTTTGTTTGGCGAATTCCGCGGGTGAAGACGCCAAACGAGTGAGGAAGCTCATGTCGTACTTTGTGGGCCCGGACGCGCTCCAGCGGCTCTACCTCAAGACCATGGATTTCGTCACTCGGCAGCACATTCAGTCTCGGTGGCACGACGAGTCGGAATTGAAGGTGCTCCCCCTTGCCAAAACGTACACGTTCGAGCTCGCGTGTCGCCTCTTCATGAGCGTCGAAGACCCGGGCCAGATAAACCGGCTTTCCCGCCTCTTCAACGTTTTCCTCAAGGGGATCATATCACTCCCGGTTAACCTCCCCGGGGCGCGATTCGGCCGTGCAATGCGAGCGACCGCTTTGATTCGGGAGGAGCTTCTAGGGGTTGTGAAGAAGAGAAGAGATGCTCTGAAGTCGCGCCCCTCCTCCCAGGGGCGCGATCTTCTCTCCCATTTGCTTCTCACCCCCGACGAGGACGGGAACTTCATGTCCGAACTCCACATCGCGAACAACATACTCCTACTTTTGTTTGCGGGCCACGACACCTCCAGCGTCACTATCACTCTCCTCATCAAGAAACTCGGAGAGCTACCGAACGTTTACGAGGAGGTCCTTCGAGAGCAGAGAGAAATCGCGACATCGAAAGAGGAAGGGGAGTTTCTGGATTGGGACGACATACAGAAGATGAGGTACTCGTGGCACGTCGTCTCCGAAGTCATGAGGCTATACTCCCCCATCTTTGGGGCCTTCCGGGAGGCGCTCGAGGATGTAAACTACGAAGGCTACATCATACCAAAAGGCTGGAAGTTCTACTGGAATGCCCCGATCACACACCTCGATGGAGGGTTATTCCAAGACCCGATGCGCTTCGACCCGTTGAGGTTTGAAGACGACGGGCCCGCACCTTACACATATGTGCCATTTGGGGGAGGCCCGAGGATGTGCTTGGGGAAAGAGTTTGCTCGCCTCGAGATACTCACGTTTTTGCACCATCTGGTTATGCGGTTTCGGTGGAGCTTACTCTTCCTTGACGAGAAGATCGAATATGACCCCATGCCCGTCCCAGTTGAAGGCCTTCCCATTCGTCTTCATGCTCACAAACAATGAAACTCTTTTATTCGTCGGTGGGTGTTGTGCAGTTGGCGAAGCTAAGGCAAGAAGTGTCAATGGAGTAAGACTCAAGTTCAATTCGTAGCAACTGCGTTGTGAGACAACTATGTTAAGCTGTTAAGCATGTGGCTAGAAGGAAAAGGACGTAAAAAAAAATAGAATTTGCATCCTCCATTAATTATTGGTCATTCGCATATTATTCTGCAGCTTGGCATTTATATTTTAATTTGAGTGAACTTTGCTTTTTTGTTGTTGATATTGTATTGATGTGTGCTCTCGGCAATCATTGTAAAATATTCATCTTGATATTTTTATGAGCTACATTATTTTTCTCTTTTACAAGATTTTTGGGACATGAGTAATAAATGAAGAGGGTGTTTAGCTGAAAATTTTTTCACCCCAAAATTTTTTTTGGAACAAAAGGACATTTTGACACAGCTAGCTAGTCATAACTAGTCAAGTGTTTTGTGAAGACACATTCTCCACCTCATAAGCTTTATTTAAAAGCTCTTTGGGATTTTGGCATTAAATTACTCTGTAAATCACAACATTATTTCTTGCAGTAAAAAAATCAATTATAAGTAAATACAGTAAATAAATAAAAAGAATACAATGGTAAATTATTGAATTTTACTCCAAGAACAAGGCCAAGGGACTACCCTCGAATGGAAAAAAAGAAGAAAGAAAGAAATAAATAAAGCGGCTAATCTAACTTCGTAACGATATTTAGGCTAAAAAAATTCTTTGGGAAACTGAATAGATTAGTCTACCTACATGTATCCTTTAGTTATCGCTTCTTCCAATTCTTGAAAATCCCAAGCATCATCGGCTTTGTATTCTCCTACAATGAGGGGAAACCACCGCACAACTAGCCTCAGAACAAGCACGATTTCAATAGATGGGTTTCCTCATTATATATCGCGTGTGGGGTCCCCTCCCCTTAGGGAGTAGGACGGGTCGTTTCTTGAATTTCAGAAAGCGTGCATGAGTGAAATGTGAAACACAAAGACTCAAGAACCTTACCGATTGAATCTCTCCGTAAAGCAGACAAGTGAGCACAACTGCAAGAAAGTATCAGATCATATCACAATTCCAAAACATGCAATACAAAAGCAGCTCAAACTTTCTTTATGGTCTTTCTCATTAGCTCTATGATTCATATGCTGAACTTGTTGTGAACCTTAAAGAGATATTGGAATCATGAAATTCCATCCTAAAGGGTTAATTTTTAGAAGGAATGACACAAAACCTTGGCATGTTGTGTGTATATTTATCCTCTGTATTTATATGATGTTGGTTTAACAAAAAAAGGTCATTTATAGACATTGTATGATACCTGCCCAGAGCCTTCCCAAAATCCGCACAAAGTGACCGAATATATGTCCCTTTTGAACATATTACCCGAAAAATCACATTTTGTCTGCAAAGCAAAGCAAGCACACAGTTTCAAATATTGCACGCGGATTATATTTCAAAGAAGACGCATTTGGTCAATGAATTGTGCAACAAAGAGTGAGTTTTAGTGCCCCAGACTCTTGGCAGTGACTCTACTTTCGAATTGTGTGTCAGAGAATTCCAGTATTCCACATTACTCAACTGTGTAGAGTCTAGTAGTCTAGTATATACAACTAATACAATGGTGCCATAAACCAATCTTCTTGAGAATTCTTTCAATGTAGTGAGGCCAGATCTAGAATTGTACCAAAACATTGTCTCATGGTGGTATGTGAAATGCCTACTCATCTCATGGGTTAAGACAGCCCCCCGTATGAGGGCAATTTGGACTAAAATTTGCCGCCCCTTTAAATGTTTGAGCATCCTTCATTGGTTGTCTGCTAGGTTCGCACCCAAAATTTATAAGTGTGATGTAAACTTATTCACATCTAGATATCCTATTTTTTGGGGGGGGAGGAGGGTAGGTGCAATTCTGCAAAAAAAAATCCATTGACAAACCTGTCCTCTAAACTCCGCTCAATGTCAAACTGGAATATCGATACCCTCCTTGGGGAAAGTTCGATGCTTTCGCCCCTTCTTGCTTTATCATACATCCTTTCACCACCAACCTATCACATGTCCAAGAAATTGGAAGCAATCATAGCTATAAGAATTGTTCCTTTACCATCCAAAAAGATTTGCCGCAATATGAATTGTGAAAAAGTGAACCGAATCATAACTTGTGCACTGCTTTCTATACATGCAAAAAGTTTAAGTTATAAATGAATACTGAAGAATATTCTTGATAAAGAGTTTGGATATTACCTATTCCGGGAACTTCCTACACTCCAATTGATCTTGTCTTGTTCAATTAATCCCATTGCCTCATTCTTTATATTTAACTAAAATGCCCTCATTCTTTATATTTAACTACACTCCAGGATGAGCAATTCGTACCCATCTAAAATGAATATATTGTCCTATAAGGGTTAAACAAAGATTAAAAGACAATGTGAGAAATGAAATTTATAAAAGGCTAAAAAATGAACTTAAGACAATACACGTAAAATTAGAGGGAGTAATGTTGTAATAGTGTCAATATAGATGATATTTAAACATCAGAATCCGACTTGCAATGTGGCCAAAAGGATGACTGCTGAACTTACTTTGATGGCTGAAAACATAGGAGGGACTTGCCATATCTCCCCAGAAAGGGATGCAATAGCCTTCCTTAGATCCTCGTTCTTGATGTGCTCCCATGGCTCACGTTGAATAACCTATATAATAGAAATTTTATTCAACTTTATAGATTGTATGAACCAAGAACATGGCATGTAACATGATAATGAGGTTGTTTACCAATTAATAGTACTTTCATTTTGGCCATAAGACAGAACAACAACCCAGTAGAATCCCACGAGAGTAGGGTCTAGGGAGGGTGTGTGTGGTCAGACCTTACCCCTACCAGGGAGTAGAAAGGCTGTTTCCAAGAGATACCCCCAGCTCAAGAAACATATAATGCACAAAACGCACCATGCAAGGAAGCACACAAGGACAAGTGCAGAAACTACCACCAGCATAGTACAAAACAGCATAGACGGATAAAGAAATGAATACCATCAGATAATTAGTTTTTGAAATAACATATTTTATTAAATACCCTGGGTATATGTTATAAGATAGTTTAGCACGAGATAATAAAGTCTCCTATTTGGGATTGGCTTTTCCTTCTAATAATTACTACTACCATTCTAAATTATCTGTCGGTTTTTATTTGTGCAAATTGCACACAGCCACAAATTAACCAAACAATAACTTCTCCAAATCGGAAAATAAATTATTAAATGACTATAATACCTCTGCGACAATTAGATTTTGATATTTTGAATATGCAATCCTCTTTTAATATAACTATCATGCATTTAATAAAAGCCTTCATCTTTTAGTACATGATAACTTTCAACAGAAATAAGGATAGCTTTCAATTTAAATTATGGATATAAATAATTGAACTATTTGTATTAACCTAGGTGTGATTTTGTGCTCTAAATTTCAATTATAAATACCAAAATACATACCTTGCAACCAAACTAGTTTTATAAATTAGACTAGCTTGAAGTCTTATTACCTGGCAAAGCACATCAAATGGTTTTCCTTGAAATAGAATAAAATTTGTGTTTAGCCTATCTCACGATGATAATAGAGATGGACGAGAGAAATCAATGGACTTCTTCACCTCTTCTCATTTATTTTGTTGGATACTATTATATGAAGAATATTTCCTTGAAACAAAATTCATAATCCATGTCTTGAATTCCATTAATATGTCATGAAAAACAATGAAAATAACATAGAAAAGTGTAATAATAACCTACTCCGTATTTCAATTCCATACACATGATAGGGATTACAGGGTTTGGTTTCTCTCCAAGCATTTAGATATTTACTATTGTGAAGATGTCCAGATATTAACAACGCACCGGGGAATCTGCATCCCAAGTAGAGGTGGCTTCTCCTAGACGAAAAGTTCCACTGTAGCCCTTGATCATACCCTGGTATCTGCCAAGAAAGATTTCAACTGAATGGAATTTAGTTTGCAAATTCATCAAGAGAGAGGAAATGATTAGCAAATATATTCATATTATACCCCTCTGTCCTTCAAAAAAATTGAACGGAATTTAGTTTACAAATTCATCAAGAGAGAGGAAATGATTAGCAAATACATTTATATTATACCACTATGTCCTTCAAAAAAAATCTAATAATGATTAACGATTCCCAACTAAAACTAATTTTCATTTAATATAATCAATAATTTAATAATTGGTATAGGATTAAATAACAAAATTTACCTATCTAAAATGCACGTCAAAAGTACAACAAAACAAGAAGAGGTGACATGACTATACTTTTAATCAAATGACTAACAAAAATAGGCAATTGAAGATGATAAAGTTTGATCTTGTGAATAGTAGTAACTGAAATTTTTTTGAGAGACAGAGGGGGTAGAAATCATATATGGTGAAAAAAAAGGCACTGGGAAATGATGTGCATGATGGTCTTGATTGAAAACTTTCATCCGATCTCCCAAAGTATGAAAGGGGTGCAAAAAATGTTAACTGACCTATCAACCAGCTTTGTAGCTTTACCAATGCATACAATCAATAAACCAGTTGCCATAGGATCAAGGGTCCCGGCATGTCCTACCTGCAAGAGGTATATTTAGTAGCGAATGGAGAAGAAAGGGCCAATTACTAGAGTCAAGCTACTTTCACGTTAGTAGTGAATGAAGAAGAAATGACAGAGAACCTTTTTCACTTTGGTTAGGCGGCGCAACTTTCCACAAACCGTAAATGAAGTCCAACCTGTAGTGATATAAGAGAGCAGGAATCAAACAACATTTTAGAGGAATTTACAAAAGTCACAACATTTTATTCTTTACTCCTACATCAAATAAAACCTTTATGAAAATAAATTGCTTTTATTGGCAATGACATTGGAGGTTTAATACGCTATAAATACTACACAAAGAATTCAGCGCGCAACTACCTAGCAAAACACAAGATAGTTTCACTACACGTGGACACTGTCAATCAGATCACATATTCAAATCAAGACTTCTCTCTGCATAATTACTTATGTACAATAATACTAATCATGAAATAATATTAACTATAGTAAATAGTAACATTAATATACATGACCTCCTTGGAGTTTCGAAATGAGATTATACAACGTAGTTTTGAATGTGGGATATGATTTAACGACAATTGGCAGAACAGATATACTAATAAGTACACAAAGAAACATACCTTTTGGCTTGTTCACTAAAACAACAGTCCCAGCGGGGCTATCCCACTTTGGAGGAAGCCCTCTACTCCTTGAAGAAAGGAAGGGCTCTGCACTACAAACCCCGGTGTCTGGGTGATTCGGGACTTTCTTCAAGCACTTAAAGAACTCCTCAACTTTCTTCTCTGAAACATCCACTTTCACACCCTTCTTACCGACACCCTCTGTGTTTTCATTTCCCACTTCATCAGTCTCAAAAAACACCAATCCTTTGTCTTCTTGGGTACCCACACTTTCCCCTTTACCATCTTCTGTCTTTCCGGCTTTCATTTTCCCCTTCCTTGTAGTAATCTTCTCATTGGACTGACCTGGCTCAAGAAAAGCCTTATCGAAACACTGATCAGGAAAAAACTTCTTCTCCAATTGATAAACCATCTTATAATGCTTGTCCTTCTCCCAAGGGTAAGTAAATGCATCATAGAAATACAACTCCTCCTCTTTCTTGTGCAATGTACGCATCTCAACAACTTCCTGCTTCAGCTCCACAACTTCACTACCGTCCAGGCGATCACCCTCGTCTTCCGACTCCGACCCGAACATCCTTTTCCTCCTCTTGTTGTAATACTTCCTTTTAGCCTTATCCATTCCCATCTCACTCCTAGATGAAGAAGAAGAAGAAGCTAATTTCCTTTCGACCCAATTATCGAATCCATGTTCCGAATCCGGGTCAGGAGAATCCGTGGTTTTGGAATTTGTGATGGGGTGTTGCGGGTTACGGCGGCGACCACGGAGGCGCATGGGGTCAACCGGGCGAGACACGATCATCTCGTATTGGAGTGGGTACGGGGTGGAGGTTGTGGAGAAACGCTTGAGCGCCGCCAGGGTTCTCCGGTCGGAGGGAATGGAGATGGAGGATAGCATGGCGATAGAGGCTGGACTCGTGAAGCGGAGGAAGGCGAGCGATATCTTCGACAGCTGTGCCGGTTTCGCCATTGAGGCTTTTTGTCGAACACTAGCCGTGCTAGCTTCACCGCCTTCACTTCTCAGTTCACTGTATCACTCTTACCTGTTCAACAATCTTTACGTAGAGTTACTTTAGTCTTCTCTGTGATAATATGAGTGCAATGTAGCTTTCCTCTAATAACCAAACATGTGAGATGGGAAAGGAAAGAAAAAGTAAAAATAATATAGAGTAAAAAAATTACATAGTAGTTTAGACTGCCCAAAACATTCAGTCCGTCCGGAAATAAAGTTTACGTTTCTCCTTTTTCTTCGTCCGAAAATAAAGTTTACATTTCTAATTTTAACTCACACTCTTCTAAAAATACCCTTCTCTACCATTTCAATCTTCTCTCCCTCTCCCCCCTTCCTCCTCTTCTTCCTTAGTTCCTTTTTTTTTCTTTCTCTCATCCGCCGCTGTGAACTTTCAATCCTCCCTCCCCCCTCCTTCTTCTTCTTCTTCTTCTTCTTCTTTTCTTCTTCTTCTTCTTTTCTTCTTATTTTCTTTCTCCTAAGCAGAAACGGACGGGACCAACGCCAAATGAACCGTTTTTGCACGAGGATCACGAATATCCAGTCCTTTTTTTCCAATTTTTCCTTGAACTTCACGAATTGAAGATTTTAGGCTCGGGAAAACCCTAGGATCCGAATTTGGGGGTTTCTTCAAATTGGCTTCAATTTCTGCAATTGATGGTTCCTCTGTGGTTGGATGGACTGTGGGAGGTGCTTGGTGGGGTTGCGCGACGTCAGAGGTGGCCGAAATTGAGGAAAACCCGCCGGAAACCGCCAGCCCGGGTCGCGGCGGCGATCTGGCGATTATGGTAACCAAATCGGCTGAGACCGGTCGCGTTGGAGTCGCGTGTTCTTTCCCCCGAAGTAGGATGGGTTGTTTTCCGATTTTGAGCTGTTTTTCGATTTTGAGCCGAGGATGGGTTGTTTTCCGTATTGTGTTCAGGTGGAAAAGCAAAAGGGGAGAAAGGGGTATTTTTGGTATTTTAAGTGCTTACTCAACTCCCAATAAAAATGACAATAAGTCAAAACGTAAACTTTAATACCGGACGGAGGGAGTAATATTTTTTCAAAGATATTATAGATTAGGTTTTTATGAAACTAATCTATATTTGACCTATTTTTTAAAAGGTATTATAGATTTTTTCCCACATCACCATTAGATCTTTATGTGTATATAATTATTTAATTCTTTTTACGTAAGAATTATTTTAAACAAACAAATATAAATGTATGCTTCTTTGCCAATACATACTTCATTTAATAAAATGAAATAACTTCCTTGCTACTATACTGACATACTTCTGCACTTTTTCTATTGTTTTTTGGAAAATGCTAAGGGTACACTAAAAGTGTACCCCAAACATCCCTCACCCCTTCCATCACCACAAAAAAAAAGCAAAAAAAATAAAAATAAAATAAAATGAATGGTAGAAAGGAGAGTGGTGTACCCTTGTTTTTTTTGAGTTTCCGAGTTTTTCCAAGTAATAGTAAGACCATCTTCTCTTCAACTTATTCTTACTATTTATTAGTATTTTTTATCAGAAGAGCAGAAACAATTTCCAAAGCAACCTCAATAGTTCCAAATATATCTAAAGAGTAATATCTTGTCATGTGTGTCAATTCACCAAAGTTTTGATCATATGCGTTTGACGTACTTTTGTTAAGATATTGTATTGAGACCATATTATGCCTTCAGACTTCTACATCAACAATATCCAAAATCGATCAAAACACCCTCAATAATTCTGAATATGTCTAAAGAGTCATACTTTGTCCGAAATGTCAATTCATTAAAATTTAGATCATATATGCTTAACATGATATAATTACACTTGGAATAAATTAGATCACATCAAATCAAACCTTATTCTAATTAAATCAAAATCATTCAAATGAATTGGAGAGAAATTGTTTTAATCCATTTCGAACTTATCATAAACTAGGTGGGCCTTCAACCACAAATGTTCACAACGTGAGGCGTCTACCGGTTGAGAAAAGCCCATGGCGGGTTCCGACTGGGCAGACGAATGGCAGCTCGTCAACGACGATGGCTTCATCTACAAACGCCCGAATAAGCGCCCCCGTCTCGATCCCCAAACTCCGTCCTCTTCCTCTTCTCCCGCTTCCTCCTCCTCCTCCCATCCACTGCGTCATGACTACGCGGCGGAGGAGAAGAAGATTCTCCGGGAACGGAAGAGGGCCGCACTCCTCAATCTCAAAAACAAGTATCAAACGGAGATTCGCATGTGGGAGCAATTATCGAACACCTTGAATGCGACGTGCGAGAAAGCCTCCGCCCATCAACAGATTCAACAAGGGGATCCGGTATCATCATCTGACCTAGTCGCCGGAACCTCCGAACCGCCGGCGGATAACTCCTCCCGGCGAATCATTGACGACCTCCTTTCTAAGGTAATTAATTCTTACAACCACCTTCTTCTACTGAATTTCGGCGTGCTTATTCAGTTGAATTTGAAGTGATTTGAGTTCGATTCTGTTTCTATAGGCGGAAATTCAAGGAGCCATGATTGCGGATATCTCTAAATTATGCGATAATGCTGAAGTCTTGTGCAGGTTTCAAGAAGAAAGGCTTAAGAAACGGTTTCTGGACCTTCCAATTTGGGAAAAATCTCCACACAGACTCATTTCTTCACTGTCCCAAGATTGAGCCCATTTTCTAGGGTTTTGTCTGATGAATGTTAAAAATCATTTGACCCTGTTTCAATCCGTGTCAATATTTCACCAACTGCTGCTAGAATTTAGCTTCGTATTTCTGGTTTGAACATTTGTTCTTAGCTGTATTGATTGCAGAACTAGCATGAAAGGGAATCTTGAAAGTGAGCTCTTGCAACCATTAATGGTGGGACTCTACTCTGGACACTCTTCTCAATGGTGATGTTCTGTGCGCCGGGTTTTCCTTTTGTCAAACTAGGATCAGCTTAAATGTATGCTTTTTTCAAGGCCGACGTGTCCGAACGGTTCATTTTACTAACAAGTGTGTGTTTCTTTGCTTGATTCATGGCTTGTATTTGGATTCTTTCAACTCAAGTATGCATTTGAGTGTATTGAGTAATTGGATAGACAGCTTTGAATATTGTGGTAATGGCATGAGCTGATTGAAGCAGGTTTCAAGAAGAAAGGCTTTGAATATTGTGGTAATGCCAGTCGATATGTATGTTTTTGCCTGTAAGCTTCTCTTTGCTTGTTTAATGATGGCAATCTCATCAGGTCTTAAACTGCTGTCCTAGATGCCATATCTTTTGGCATTTGTAATCCTATTTGTCTATTGTGTCCTTATGTCAAGACTGGATTTGAGGTTGTTTTCAGAGCAATTACAGCTTGTCTCAACCCATCAAGTTTGGAAATGGTTGTTCCAATTCAGACTTGGGCATAACAGTGACACCAGAATTGGGTATGTTCTTCGTCTTATTAATTATTTCAAATAAATTATTTATTCTTATTGTAATTAGATTAGGCTAAACCAGACTAGGAACATCAAAGATCATACCGCACTAGCACTATGTTTGGTACAAGGAATTTGAAAGGGAAATGAAAAGAAATTAAGATGGAAAATAATTTTTCTTGTTTAGTTAGAGAGAAAAAGAAAAGAAAAGTGGATGGAAAATAAAATGAAAAGGTAAAATATACTAAGAGGAGGGAAAATCAAATTCCTGTGAGGAAAAAGAGTGAAACTCATTTTCTTTTCTTTTCCTTTGTGATCCCTTGAATGGTTGTTGAACCAAACATAGTGTAAATGTTACGGAGTATATTTCATTAAATTTATCACCTGCTCTTGGTCAGCTTAAGAGTATATTGTTAGTGAGGGGATGAGAGAAGAGGTTAGCAAGACAAGAAAAATGACCCACTAGCACTTGCCTGTTAAGCTTAGCCCAAAGACAATATTACAAACTTCCGAGGCGCAATACAAAGTTCTCAACAACAATAACAAACCCAGTAAAATCTCACTAGAAGTAAAATCTCTCGATATCAAATTTGTGTGTGTGTGCGTGTGTTTTGATGATGCATAAATACGATACGGATTTGATATCTCTCGACATCGTAACTCTTCTAAATGGGGTGGTTTTATATCTTCCGAAATTCGAGGGTTTTGATATCCCCTTAATCGTCCACGGCTGCCCACTATTGCCCTCAATTTATGCTTGTCAATTATTGTCATCATTTCGTACTTTTGTAGTGCATAATATTTCTTCCAAATTTCAAAGTTCACATTAGAGCAACGACGACAATGGCGAGGCATTGCCTGCCACACCTATCCAGTCAGCGAGTCTCTTTCCATTGCCTTGCATGGCATCTCCAATTTGTAGTGCATGTGTTTGCTTCCCATAAGCCAACCAATGAAGCTAACAAATACTCAGTAATAACAACTCATTAAAATTTTACTAATGAAATGTAATAAAGACTGATTTTGTGAATGTAAAAACTATGTGCTTTTGTATTTCCGATATGTGATTTCTTTTGTGTGTTTTATGAAGTCTAAACTAATTTCGAATTTGATATCTTTTGATGTCACAATCTTTTCAGATAGATTCTTTTGATATCTTTCAAATTTAGGAGATACCAATCCAACTATTTTAATACTCCCTATCTCCTTAATTTGATTCTCGAAACTCGTCAAACGTCGCCTCTGTCCAACAGCTATCTCCCACCATTGATGCCAACCACCACCACCATCGTCAATGACAACTACGTATTTTCAATAACCATCATTTCAAAAAAAAGAAAAAAAAAGAAAAGTAACCATCATTATTTCTTAACTCTTTTACAAGACAATTATCCAGAACACTTTATGCTTGTAAAGAATCTTATACTAAAGCAAAACCCAACACCTTTTGGCAATGCTGCTGCTGCTGCAAATTATCTTTGCTAAACAGTAGGAATTCTTGGGAATGACTTTCTTTTTTCTTTCTTAATTCATTTCGTTATGGGGATTATAAAGAAGCCACTTTACAACTTGATGATTCTTGCACAAAAGGTTATAGAGAATGTTTTGATTTGATGGTAACATGGACCAGTAACTAAAGAATACGGAGTAATTTTTTTTTACTTTGGCCGTATCCTGATATATATTCTACTATTCTCCTCCATTTACATTATACTCCCTCCGTCCCAAAAAGTCTTTCCTGTTTCATTTTTTGCGCATCCCATAAAACACTTCTACCGACATCTAAAATGTCTAAAATTTACAACATTTCTTCTTTATTGTGGGTAGAAGTTATTTTGAAAGTTTTTTTGGCATTCAAGGCGGGATAGAAGTGTTTTATGAGATGCGCAAAAAATGAAATAGGAAAGACTTTTTGGGACGGAGGGAGTATTCAACAATAACATATATCCACTTGCAAGATAAAAAAACTTTCATTTTATATATTTACGGAGTATTTCTTGGCATATATTTTGAATATGTACACCATGTCACTATGAAATTGATATGTGCACATTCAATAAATGAATAATGCACATTTTGTAGCAAAAAATCATTTTCATTTTTTGTTAACAATATATACTTCTATATCAATGAAAGGATAAAAAAGAAATATTGAAAATAAATTGCCAAAAAGGGCACACTTATTATTTAAACCCCCTACATGCTCCGCGCGCACAGTATAACATTAGTATATTGATATTTATGACGAGCCAGAGCGAGCCATTTGGTCAACTCCTCCAACGCTTAAGACTTTCCTTTAGGATGTATTGAATTTAAGTTACCATGGATGGGAGATGAAAGTGATTTTTGTCAATGAACCTCTAGCTCTCAGATTAGCTCTTAGGTCAGATCAATTACGAATGTCTCATTTTAAATGGTAGTGTGTGAGCTTATCAGACATTGACCGTAGCATTCAGTGTGTGATTGATTTCTTGTGTGGAGAAGTGGACATGCTACGTAAAAATTTGAGAGACGAAAGAGTTTAGATTTAGCTCTGCTAAGGTTCTTGATGTAGGGTCTTAGAAATTTAAAATTATTTTGATGCAAGTTGAAAAATCTTAATGTATATACATTCATGGATATATTTTCAATTTTAGTCATACAAATTTATTTTTTTCTCTCAAACTTAAAGGAGGTGTAAGGTCTGAATAATATTAAAAAGAGTAGCAAGACTTGAATAAGATACACAAATTGATTTAAAAATTTGAACAAACATTTTACAGACAAAAAATTCATCAATCTTTTAGATTTGTTACTCCGTACATGTTACCCCCTCCGTCCCGTTTTAAATTGCATGTTTTGACTTTTGGGCATATTTAAAGAAAAGAAGAAATAGAGTTGATTTTCCGAAATTGACATTACTTTTTAAAAGGGGTGGCAATGAATGAGAAAATAAGGTGGAGAAGAGTGACTTATTCTAGGGGTAGTTTAGGGATTTCACTCTTAAAAATTTACGATAACAAGTAACAAGCAAATTATTTTGGGACGGAGAAAAAAGGCAAACAGACAATTTAAAATGGGACAGAGGGAATACTTGTTTGGTTTCTTTGTTTATATTGAAAAACACTTATACTCTCCTTGGAGTGTTTTTATATATAAAAAATAGAGTGCAAACATCATTTTCCCACGTGTTATACTATCGTTGTTCCAAAAAAAAATTACGGAGTATTACTTTTTTTAAGTTAAACAGTGATATACTATGATTTCAAATTATACATGATTTGAATAAACAAATATTATTCAAATTTATAAATCAAAACTATATTTTAAGAAAAATATAATTATATTAAATTTACATTAAAATTAAATATACCTTTTTTTACCATATATAATAAAAAAATGTCATATTTGATAAAAAATAAAAAAGGGGAATTTTTTGAGAAGAGGCAGTATTTTCTTTCTTAAATTAGGTGGTAATAAATTTTGAAGTGGAAGGAATAAATGACAACTCAAATGTTAACATTGGATTCTCTAGAGGAAAGGGTTTAGCATGCAGGCCGCGGGGCCCATGGAATAGAAATATGAGTGGGTGCACAAAAAATGCCATTCAATTTTAAAAGCATTTAAAGTACTTTTCCCAAATATGCATGGAGTTTTAATCATTAATTTATAACAAATTTGAGCTTCTCTCTTCAATCGAGTTGAGTAATAAAAAGTTTATTTCCCAAGATTCGTCATGAATAATACGGAGTATATCTATGGAATAATATAAATTTAGACTCATTTTGATACACTGAATTCAAATTATGAAATTACATTTGAAGATAATAATTTCAATTCTGTTGTTTAATAGCACAAAATATATTAATTTAGAATTGATAATGCGAAAAATAAATTGGAATTGAAAAATTCAATTTCATCCAAATCAATTTCGTAAAATTCAATTTCCAATTTAATTTTAATTCTATCAAAGAAATTTGCAGAAATTGAAGCTTATTTTCTCAAAAAAAAAGAAGAAGAAGAAATAAAACTAAACATACAAAGTAAAACTATTTTCTATAATACAAATGAGATAATGCTACTAATGATTGTCATAATTCCATGCTACAAAACAGAGACAAGACAAACAAACCCAAGAACAACAAGACAAAAGAAATTGGAAATTTAAAAACAAATTAAAAAAATTTTTAAAAAAACAATTTTAGAACTGCTAATCACTCTGCTAATTACCGCGATTAAACTCTAACTAATTAGCCCTCTCCACGCGGCGCACGAACACGGATTCCAGTTCCGGCGGATCGAAGAACTCCTTGACGCCGTTGTAACGGCAAACGGAAGAAGGCCGGCGTTTCCTCGGCGCCGGCGGACACGGGAGCCTCTCCGGAATCCTAGACCCCCTGGCCGTCGGAGTCGTCGACCGTTCGTCGTCGGAACGCCGGCAATCGCCACCCTCTGCCGCCGGCTTTGTGGATATTGACTTCAGAGGAGCACAAATTGAAATTTCCGGAAATGCCCATTGCTTTCCTCCCTTCATTTGTTTCATTCCCCGCCCTCTCTGTTTCTTCGAAGGAAAAGCAGAGTATTTATCTGAGAGAGAGAGAGAGAGAGAAATAAAAGGAATAAACTTTCTTGCAAAAAAGGGGCTTTTTTTCCGACAAAAGGGAAGGGAAGATGAACAGGAGAGGTAAGGGCGCGTTTGTTTGGCCTGAAAATCGAAGCTTTTTTTTCTGGGAATTGCTCTGTGGGGAGAGAAGAGTATTTGATGATGATGATGATGACAACGATTGAGGATAAAAACCAGGGGCTGCCCGGGGATTTATTTTGGGCAGCGCGGGAAAATTGAGGGATTTTGGCGGGAAAATCGGGATGTCAACGGTTATATTTCCCGCCTAAGTAAATTTGTTGGTTTTCCCCGTATTGCCCCCCCTTTATGGGTGGAGCCCGCGTTCCGCGTTTTATGGGTGTTTTGGCTTTATTCTTTTTTTTTTTATTTTGCTTAGCTATTTATAAATGATAACCCCATTTTTGTCAAATTACAACGTTGAGATTAATCCTTTAAATAATACTTCCTCCGTCCCAAAAAGTCTTTTTTGTTTCATTTTTTGCGCATCTCATAAAACATTTCTGTTCCGTCTTGAATGCTAAAAAAACTTTTAAAATAACTTCTACCCACAATAAGGAATAAATGTTGTAAATTTTAGACATTTTAGATATCGATAAAAGTGTTTTATGGGATGCGCAAAAAATAAAACAGGAAAGACTTTTTGGGACGAAGGGTGTAATAAAGGAAACTTAAAGTTTTTGAAGAAAAATAAAGAAATGGCATCTCAAAAGAGAAGGGAAAAAAGTAAATTATTCCGTACGAAATGTCCTAAATGACCATCACAAAAGGCTATTGCAGCTTTCTACACATATGGGTTTAAGTGTTTGATTAACAGTACCCTCTAGATTAATCATTTTATAAACATATTTAGAAGTAAAAATCATGGTTTGATTTTACGAAATTTAAAGAAAGTCTTTTCTCATTACTTCTAATTTTTGTACTTTTTACTGTTTGTTATGATTTTTTTAGTTTTTTTCTTCGACTGTGCCGCCTAGTTTTTATTTTGACGAAATAGCTCCTGTGCCCCCATTAGTTTTAAAAATGAATATCAATACTCAATTTCTTTTCAAAATTTATTTCTAAAATATCTTTGGCTCAAAATGTTACACACCACTCCTCTGACCATTTTCCAGTCATTTTTCGTTGAAGATGGAACATTGATGCCTAATTTTTAAACCATAGAAAGCACTCATGCTCTTTTCTTATTTTTCATTTATTATTATTTTGTTTTTCACTTTTTAACTCTTTTTTCGTAGAAAAGTTTTTAAATTTTTTTATTTTGTTTTTAAAAATTCAAAATTGTTTTTATTTGAAATAAAAATAAAAAATTAACATATACTCCATTTATCTCAAATTACTCCTTCCGTCCTATTTTAAATTGCCTATTTTTATTTTTGGATATATTTAGGAAAGAGAAAAAATAGAATTGATTTTTCGAAATTGCCATTATTTTTTAGAAGAGGTGACGATGAATAAGAAGATAAGAGAAGAAGAGTGACTTATTTTCGGGGTAGTTTGGGTATTTTATTTCTTAAAAGTTTACGATAACAAATAACAGATAACTTATTTTGGGACGGAGAAAAAAAGACAAACAAAAAATTTAAAATGGGGTAGAGGGAGTAAATATTTTCACTTTTTTTGTTTATAAATTTTTTTGGTGAGTTCAATATACCATAATTCAAAAAAATTTAAATATGGAAAACCAAACATAAAAATAAAATGTAAATTTATTTATGAACTATTAATTTTTTATTACCTACTTTTAATCTACTTGACTTGGTTTTTGAATAATGAAATGTTAAAAATAATTAAGAAAAATAATTCAACGAAATTTTAATTAAGCTCGACCGGTATGTATGTTTGTATCGAGGCCAAATAGCTCCGGTACCCCATGTGGTTTGGAAAATTTTCAGCAATACTTCCTCTGTTTTCAAAACTTATTTCTGAAATCTCCGTGATTTCAAAACGTTGCACCCACACCCCCTCTGATCATTTTCCGGCAATTTTCCGGAGAAGAGGGGCATTGGCGCATAATTTCTATACCATAGGGGGCATTCGTGCTCATTTTATATTTTTGTTTATTATTCTTCCCTTTTTAAAAATATTTTCTATCTCATTTTCCTTTTCTTAGATTTTTTTAAATATATTTTCAATTTTTTATAATGTTTCAAAAATTTTCAAATTCTTTGTGTTTGAAATGAAAATTAAAATAAAAAAATTAACATACATTACATCTATCTCAAATTAAACATTTTCATTTTTTGCTACTTAGAATAATTTTTGGAAAGTTCAAAAAAACAAAGAATAAAAAAATAAAAGTATAGAAAAACGAAATGAAAAAATTAAAATACGCAAAAAAGTCTTATACAAAAAAAATTGGACACGCCTAAAAAGTTCTTAGAATAAAGATGTCCAAAAAGGATATTCATTTTTATTTTTGTATTAATTTGTTTCTTATTTTATTCATCATTTTTTTGAATTTCTCAAAAAAATTACTTTTTTTCAGAATAAATAAAAATTGTTAATTTAAGAAGTACATATGCATTATATGTTAAATTTTTCAAACAAAAATAACTTTAAATTTTAAGAACATTATAAAAATAATTTTAAAAAAAACCTTTATTAATAAATGAAACAAAAAAGGAAAAAATGGAAAAAACAAAAAAAAATGCGAGAAATAAAAATTAGCACTGATACCCCCTATGGTTTAAAAATTATGCATCAATGCCCCCTTCTTCGCCGGAAAATGATCAGAGGGGCACGGGTGCAGCATTTTGAAACCACAAAAACTTTAGAAATGAGTATTGAAAACAGATGGGGTATTGGTGCTTGTTTTGCAAACCACGAGGGATATCGACACTATTTGGCCTAGGGATGGACACGCTACGGTTCCGGTTCTGGAACCGCTGGTTTTGGTACCGCCACCCCTTGGTACCGGTACCGTGACCGGACCGGCCATCCCCAAATTAATTTTTTTTTGCTTTTTTATTAAATTTTTATAGTGTAAAATTGATTTATTTTTTTGATTATTTTTTGAAAAATCTAGTGTCCATAAAAATAATTGAGATCTATGAAAAATATTAAATGCAATTGTTGAAAAATTTGGAAGAGACTTATTTTGAGAAAGAGAGTAACCTTGAGAGGATTTGAGTGCCATTATATAGCCCAAAATGGGATAAACCCGTTGCTAGAATTTCCAACAGGATGAAGACAAATTTTTCAGAGACACAGGCTGATAGCCGATTGTCAAAGCATGATAATCGATTATCCAAAGATTCCCTGTCCAAAAATTTAAAATTCTATCCGTTGGAGGACAACGGTAACCCAAATAATCGATTGTCAACAAGTGATAATCGATTATTGGTCCTCTCAGAACATTCTGGATTTTGGCTGCAAAGACTGATAATCGATTATTGCAAAGCTGATAATCGATTATTGCGTGCTTCAGAACATTAGAAGTTCAAAGCTGCAAGGGCTGATAATTGATTGTCACTAAGGTGATAATCGATTATCACCCAGCTAAAGTCTAGCCAGCTGAAACCCGTTTTGAAAAAACGAGGTCAAAAAATAAAGTGTTCCCAAAAGTAAAAACCGGGTTTGGAAAATATTGTATATGGTATTAAATAGTGAAAACAAGACTTGTTTGGTAAAAACCAAGTCTCCAAGGTCGTATAATACGTACGTACGGTTTAGACCGTTTTTCACGTGTTAGACCGATTGACCAAAATACAAAAGTGGTTTTTATAAAATAATTATTTGGGAACATTTTAAAAATGCTCAGAGGTAAAAACAGGGTTTAAAAAATTGAAAACCACAGAGTTGATTCGGGCGCCAAAAACCGAACGCTGAAAGCCGAACGTCGAAAGCCGAACGCCGACTTAGGTGGTTTTGGTTCTGAGCAAGGACCAGAGATTTTAACAATAAAAGGAATCATCAAAAAAAATTTGTTTTGATGCACAAGAAATATTTTGTGATTTGTAAAAATTGTTTTGACTTTTTGAGAACCGAGACTTGAATTTATTGTCGGTTTTTATCACAAAAGACCGACTCGACTAAGTCTTCAATTCTTGATCTTGTCCTTGAGTCTTTTAGGTCTTGTTCCAAGCCATTCTTCACGCCTTGAGTTATTCAACGAAACTCTTTATATCCACGACGGTTTGGCAATTATCAAAACCTGTCAGAAATGAACACGACTTTAGTTTATCGTACAAAGTGTGTTCCAACAGTAACGGTGGCGGGTACCGGCGGTACCGTTGCCGGTCACGGTATCGTACCGGTACCGTGTCCACCCCTAATTTGGCCTATGTATCGAAGCTCTTTCATCGTCGGAAGATGAACCCATTTTTAAATTATATTTTAAAATATTTATAATAAATAATAAATATTTTTGAGAGAATATTTAGTAATAAAGAGATATTTGTGAGAGAGAGGTGTGAGGAAGATGTATGAGAAGGGAGGATTTTATAGGTTTTTTTTTAAATTTAGAATTTTTTTTTAATTGGGGGGGGGAGGGGGGGTAACGGCTCTATAGCCGTTGGGAAGGGGAACGGCTAAAAAAATCGGAGCCACGCCGCATCAAACGTATGACGCTGGGCGACTCACGCCCTTATAACGCCGGAGGGGGGCGGTGTTTCACGCCCCCGGTACGTTAAACGCCCGATCACGCCGGCGGGCGTGAGGACCATTACCAGTGCTCTAAGGATTACAACATAACAGAAAAGATCAGAAAATTGCGTAAATATGGCGTTTGATTTTAAACACACGGCAAAAACACGCGCCAAACAAGACATTAGACCTTAAACTGCTCCTGATGATGATTTCTTGAAATTCTCGAGCCTTTTCCTCCTCTCTTCCAAAAGAACAATTTGAACATTTTTCACTTAAACTCGTGATTCAAAAGGACCGTGTTGAGTTGCTTCGTACACGGTGTGGAGTCCTTTTGCACACAATTTTTACTTATTATTATTATTATTATTATTATTTAATAACTACTCTCTCCGTCCCGCAAAAAAGTTAGGTTTCCCTTCCTTTTTTCATCCGTCTCAAAAAACACTTCCTTTTTCCTTTTAAAAAATTACTTTTACCCCTACTA